GTATAATCAATAGGTTTGATTGGATTTTTTTTTAACTATCCCAAACATTTTGGGGGGGGAAAAAGAGATGATGAAGAAGGAGAGGAGGTGTAGAACGGCAGGAGAAATAAAGGTGGGGTTTGCACAATACACTTGATTGCCGCTTAACCTACTTTCTCGGTTTGTTCAATGTATTGATCCGAATTAGCCCAACAGGTTGGGTTGGCACGTCGTGTTAATCCACCAAAGAAGTAGCCAGTCCACACTAGCCAAGTTTTGCAAGTGACCTGGTTGAGAGTGGTGTGTGAATTCACCCAAGAAAGGAATGCCTTGTGTATGTGCCACACATTCAGGGTGTTTATCGACAATCGGGATCCTGCTGTTAATGCATTCCAGCCTTGGTCAGAGATGTGGGTGTTTGTGTGTGTACGGCTCTTTCAGCTGTTTGCAGGGCAAGGAATTTGACAGCAGATGAATACAGTTTGTCTGCTCTCTTTCTCTCTAAGAATTCTAGGCCATAACGACACAGAAAGCGCCTTTGTTTCGAGCTCTGAAATCCCCAGAGGCTTGCGAGAAGACGGATTAAAGCCGCAAAGCAAGTCCCGGGCTGTTCTTGGCCACCTTTGCAGAACATAGGTGGGATGTTCTGGTTCAAACCCTAGTTCTTGAAGCTCCTCCAGATCAAGCTTGCCGAGTTGATGTCAGCTGGAACTTTTCAAAGCATTTCCTCCTCCTCTTTTGGTTGGGGCTGATCAGCTTTCAGGCATGGCCAGAGCTTGCGCGTGATCGTGGCTGCTTGAAAATGGAAAACTTTCTTGAGGACTCGGGAAATTGGCAGGGCGCGAGAGGTGGGGCCGGGCAGTTGGGGAAGGTGCCAGTCGAGGCGTGGAAAACACGGATGGTGAGCGCACCACTGCCCCCTGGCTGTGTCCACTAAAACCTCCCAAAATGTCGTGCCGCGTGACTGGTTAGGTTCTGTTCTTCCGCCTCGTTTTAGAAAAGTAAGAAGTCAACTTCTGCAGAGTTCCTGGGTCCGACTAGCCCAGCGTTCCCTGATTTGGAGCCCTTTCAGAGGTGTGGACTTCAACTCCCAGAATTCCTTGCCAGCACAGCCATTGCTGAAGATTGTGGTAGATGAAACTTGCCCATCTCGAGGACCCCCAGGTCGGAAAGGCTGATCTAAGCCAATCGTGATGTGGGCTGCAAGATTTCAGATACCAAATGTTCTTTGCCCTGTCTGGGAGGTGAAAGATTTGTACTTAAGAATATTGGCCTGAGAAAGGGTGATATCGCTCTTCCTCCTCTCTTGTTTGCCTCTCTGCTTAAAGCAATACAGGTCGTCCTTGTTTAGTGACCACAACTGGGATCAGCCACTCGGTCGTTAAGCAAAGCAGTCACTAAGTGAAAGCATGACTGTGCTTACTATCTGACTTCAGCTTTTCTTTGCTTTACAGGTAGTTCTCAACTTACGACCACAATTGGGACCGGAATTTCCATCACTAAGCGATGCAGTCGTAAAGTGAGATGTCATGTGACCGCATTGCTTAGCGACCACAATTCTGGCAGTCCTGGTTGCTGGCATTAACTGAGAATCACGGGTTGTTAAGCAAGTACTCACCCCAATCCAAGCCATTCTAGGCTTGGTCCTTCCCAGCCCCGAGCCTCAGTAAGGTAAGGGACTGCCTTCAACTCCCCACCTGCCTATCTACCCCCCATCTCTGCCCCTTTGGCTGCCCTGCACCCTGCCTTGTGGGGTGGCAAGCAGCCCCAGAGCTGCCTGGCTCTGGGGCTGCTTGCCACACTGCAGCTCTGGGGCTGCTTGCCACCCCACA